CAGATTTTTGTCATCAACAACACTGATTGTATAGTTGATATGAATTTGCATATAATTAGCATAATGATAAGATGTCCTTTATAAACATCCGAATGAAGCTGATTAGTAGGTCTTACAACACAAAAATTTTTATTACAATTTGTGTAAGTTGATTGAGTTGCGTTCATTAAGAGAGATGCAGCAGCAGGCTGTGCTATCAGTCGTTAAGCTAAGAATTAGATTGATGAAGCTTGATATCTCATGCTTCTCCTCTTAATCGTCAAAATACTTTAAGGACATGTGTAACGTCTGCCATTTTATCTTCTTTTTATTTGAAAAATGTAAGAAAGAAGATTATATTTCCTTAACTTTTAAAGAAGAAGGGAGAAGCATCTCCCTCTCTCTCCCTCCATTCCCTCCCTCTCTCTCTCTCTCTCTCTCTCTCTGTGTTGGATTCTCTTGTAAAGATCTTTTGAGCATTTGCTCATCTTTTTTCAATGAATTTCTAAGCAGATCTCCTTTCAAAGTATTTACGAAAGGATAGAGAGGGACACACATGGCCTCGCACAACACGAGCAAGAGAAGAACGAATTATTCAATTACTAGCCATATCATATTCTATTTTACTAATTTTCCAGACAAAGTCCAAAAAATCAAAAGAGATGGATAGAGAGAGAGATAGAGAAGGGAATCCGAAGAGAGAGAGAGGGAAAGCTAAGTAACGAAAGAAGAGACAATCCACGTCTGACATACTCTCATCTCAGAAATAGAATACTTTCCCTTCTAAATTCATTTCCATGTAAACATAGACCTCTAAAACCATTACAGCCATTGGGATATCATGAGACTGTACACATTGAGTTGAGCTTTGAAGCTTCAAGAGAAGAATCTGTGTCTGAATAGCTTTGATAGATAGTTTGCTTGTAAGAAATCCTTCACTTCTATCTATTTCGATACAACATTGAGATTTTTCAACATTATGTTAGAACATCACTGACTGATGTAGTTGAAGAAGTCCTGAGCTTGTACAAACAATGCATTTGGGTGATCAAAGATCTGTACACGATGAGCACACACACAAATCGTTGCAAGAAAGAGCTGAAGAGAGGTGAAAAAGAAAGGAAATTACCTAGTTCCCAGACTCTTTCGGTCACTCTCTCTATATCAGATTCTCTCTCTCTATCTCACTCTCTCATTCTCTTTATCCTTTTCGCATTTATTTCCTTCTCCTTTATCTTGTCGACGCTTTATTCAACTTCTCTCCCTCTCTCTCTGCCGCTCTCTCTTAGACGGTATAATCTTTCCATTTTGAGAAATGGATGAGAAACGTGGGAGAGGTGCTGAGAGGGAAAGAATATTTTTCTTTTAAAACTAATCATTCACTTCTTCAATTTATAGTTGTAAATGGGAAATGCAAATAGGAATTGTAATCAAATAAATAATTTCATTGGGTTTACAGGTGCGTCTGTAACCACTTGAACAACTCTGACCATCCTTAGTAGTATTACTTCCTTCTGTTTATCCAACACCCTCCTTCCTCTCCATCATCCAACCACAATTCCAATTTGATCTTTTGATTCAGAATAAACTTGACCAACTTGTTTGAATAACTTGACACTCTTATTGTAATAGAAATACAATAATTGACTATTGAAGATTAAATGGTGAAAAGAGATTTTCGTTTGGTTTTCCATCCACTTCCTTCTCCTTCTCCTTCTCTTTGACGATGATCCTTTCATGGCCATCTAACTGGACTTCAAATATTCTCTATTGCTTCTTCTTCCATCAAAAAAGGAAAGCCTCTTTCTCCTCCTTTGCATAGGAGTGTGTCTTCTATCCCATATATGCATCTACCATCATCATCATCATCATCATCATCAGCCAAGAAGTTCTCTCAGACAAAACAACGGACAAAAGGAATAAAAAAACTTTTTATTGAATCAGGTATCCGCGACCAACTTCAAACAAATCATTGAAGATTAGACCAAAAATTAAAAGAAAAAAGGCTATTTGAACAGAAACTTTGGGAAAAAAAAGTTTTGTCAAATAAAGAAAGGAAAGTATTGAATGTAATGTATTGACAAACACACACACACACACACATAGACAAGAGACTAACCTCGGCACGTAGAAGTGGACAATGCGATCACAAAAAAAGAGAAAAAAAGAAGAAGAAGAAGAAGAAGAGGTGATGATGATGATGATGGTGGTGGTGGTGGTAAGAAGCAAAAAATCCATCTTGACCTCTATTGTTTCATTCAAATTCAATTGGATGGATGATCGGCAGAGAAGGAAATTATCTGAGAAACATCAACAGCCTCCATCTCCATGCATAGACGATAGAGCCTCAACTATGAGATGCAGATGATTAAACACTTTTAATATTCAGTTTATGCGTTAGACCCACAAAAAATAATTCTCTTGCATCTCATCTCTCTATAGATATAGAGAGAGAAAGAGACGACGACGACGAGAGAGAGGTGAAATGAAGATGTAGTATGTAGCTTGGTTGTGATCTACATAAGGAACAAAAGATCATTTACCTTTGAAAAACATAACAAACAAGGAAATACCTTTCCCATAACTGCAGCTGTTAACACAATCTATAAAGCCAACTAAATATGGAAAAGGCTATCTTTGCTCGTTTTGCCTCTCTCTTTCCTTTTCTCTCTCCCGCAACTGAAATGAATGCTGCGTCATGTCGTTTTGTGAAAAATGTTTTAACGTCGACAATCCTTAGTTGGGGGACGAGTAAAAGAAATATTTAAAAGAAAAATGATTTGAATTCTGAAAATTGGCTGATATCTCTTGTAATTTCAATTGAGAAGCAAGTGAAATGACATTTCTTGTGATCATCACATCAGTTTTTGATTCAAATTCTTTTGGACAATATGGGACAAACCTTCTACAAGCGGCATTGCTTTTAAAAAATATTTTTTTCATTACAAGGGAATGCATTTGTTGAGATTTTTGCAAACAATTTCATTATTTGTATGTTTCCTTGGCATGCTTTGCAAATGCACAGCCGCTTCTGTCTTACAAGACAGACGCAAATGAAAAGCTTATTCATTTCATTCTCATGAGTTACCACCTGAGTGAGCGGTTGTGCATAAACGGAATGAAGATGCTTCTCAGATATTTTAATATTGTTTACTACATGTTTCTATATAAAATGTATTTTGCATCAGCTTTCAGAGAGAACGATCATCAGATTCTCTTTATGCTCATCCATGTTATGTTCATCCAGTACAAACACATTAAGATGTATTAAGCTGCAATGCCCTTGATGACTAGTTGATTTGGAAACAGTTTTTGGTTCTTGGAGTTTGAAAACTAACTTCCTCATTGAACTTCTGACCACTTAGGGAGAGCGAGAGTCATGGTTGAAAGGAACTATTCGAGTGCGTTACCTTCGATTGAAAGAAACATCGAGGAATGGTATGATAATCCAAATCACACTTACTATGCTATCAAATATTTTATGTGTATAAACATGTATAATGTCTAAATGGGTTTTATTCATGTACAAGGTCAACATTCATCTGAAGGCACTCCAATTACGGCTGACGACGACGACGACATCGACGACGACAACCAAAACCAAAACTAGTTGAAGCCTTGCAGTTAGTCAATCTTTGCCTCTTTTACAAAAAATTTCCAGAAGAGAATTTCAATATTTTCCTTTACTTTACGCTATGTACCTTGAAAATATAAATAAAGAAGAGAATAAAGGAATATTGGCTAAGGAGGAGAAGGCAAAGAACATAACACTCATCAAAGGCAGTTCTTCAGCCTTTTTGCTTTATTCTTCCTCCTCCTCCCACACTATCCCCCCTCCCTTCGTTGCCGTTCTCTTCTTCCTCCTTCTTCTACTACTACTTCTCCTCCTCCTCCTCCTCCTACTACTACTACTACTACTACGACTCTCATTGAAACAAAACAGCTTCGTCGTAGCAAAAGCTTATAAATGAAATTATGTCTAAACAAGCAAATAAATTATATTCCATTGTATATTTGAATAAATAAATTCTTCAGAAATAGCTGAAAAACATTTCATTTTTCCAACAAATTAATCATTCACAAGTATAAATATATCATATAACTAACTACCATCAATCGTAGTTTCAATCACAAACTACACAAGGTGGACTTGTACAGAAATGAAACAACAACATGGCAACTCTATTGATCGATGTTGACGCGATTTTGGGGGGGGGGGGGGGGTAGAAAAGGGGCCAAAAAAACGGTAGGGTTTTACAAAATTTCCAAATGTGTTTAAAAATTATTAAACCAAATGGAATATATTTAAAAACCTTACTTTTTTGTTGCCCCCTCTCTTTTCCCCCCCCCCCCCCCCCAAAAC